CCCCAAAACCCCAAAACCCCAAAACCCCAAAACCCCTAAGGGTTCGTCATTTATTGAATTAAAATACTCGTTCAAACTCTTTGACCTTGCCACTTTCTCTATCTTTCCAATATTGGCCGTTGAAGATGTAGGTCTTCTCTTTAGTCTCCTCGTCTATCTCAGTGGCAAAGTACCTTGGCACCCATTCTATCTTCTCCTTTTCTCTCTCTTTCCTTAATTTTCTCTGGTATTCTTCGACATTATGTTTTTCTTTAGAAGCTGTTTCAAGATCTCCATTTTCTAAAGCCCTCTGATCTGGTCTCAACCTTGAATCTGTGCAGGGCAACTTCTCCATTAGCTCATCATCAATGTAATTTAGTTGCAGTGTGAAGAGGGAGAAGTGGTAGAGATGATCCCATTGCTCAGGCCTTTCGTTCATAGTCCAGATGAGTGTCTCCTCTCCTGTTTCTTGATGAGTTATAGTAATCTCCTTGTTCCAAAATCCATTCATGACATATACAAGGTTGTCATCAGAATCAAAAATTTCTCCCTTAAGTTTGAAGGCATTCTTGCCACCCCATCCTCGCTTGATGAACTTCATGACACATTTTTCCCTAGTCTTCCTGTTTATAGTAACGCTCTTGCCAGCTAGATCGATGTAGAGAGTTCCGAAGAGAAGATTATGTACTGAATTTATAGGCCTATTCACTACATAGTGCTCATCTTGGTCACGAAGAACTACATGGGTACTACCTTTTGGTATAAACTCCATACTTTTTCCCTTAAAGGACGACTTTATATCAGTGTTCATCCAAACGTCGTAGTTCTTACTGTGAGCATGACAAGCAGTGATGGGCGGATGGTGACTCACCTGCTCAGCAAAGAATTGGAATTTATTCGTTAACAGTTCATAAGTCTCTCCAAGAACTGGATTTCAAGGTTTCAAGTTCCTTCCTTCTAAGTTGGCGTATTGGGAAACATTAAATGCAGATATGTAAGCAATTCTTTTAAGTGAGTCAGGGCATTTATCTGCCTTAACAAGTAGTTCTTCATACTCCATGGCTTCTCCTCCTTTTTGTAGCATTGATATTGGCTCATTAAAATAAACAGGGACGGAGAATTTTGTCAGATCTTTCCCGATTGCATTCTTAATGATTGACCAGATACTAAACTTCAATTTTGGGGGTCTTAAGTAAGGTAAAGTAGTTCTCCATGGCATTTCAGGAATCATATCTATCATTGCCATAGTTGCTGATCTAGTAGAAGTGATTTTTGTGAGCCTAACTTCATCTTGAGGTATAAAAATATCCTGATCATCAAAATCGAAGAACATGTCGTCATCTATACTATCATCCGAATCCTCTGAATTATCTCTGATTTTCTCTTCTTCCAAATCTTCATCCTCAGCGGCTTCATCATTTTCATCCTATGAAGAATATTGAAAATATTTTGAAAATGCAAAAACACCTGTTAATCCTTACCTCAACTTGTTTAACCTGGATCTTCTTATAAGGATCGCCTGGGATCCTGTAGGGGTTCTGCTGGAGTTCAATCAGAGCTATTTTCTCAGCAACAGGGTAGAGCATCTCCCTCACATTCTCATAACTGTCAATGATAAACGTCCATTTTGACCTAAGATCAGATATTTCCTTGGTTAAGTTCTCTATGATCACTTTCTTCGCAGGCTCTTCTTTACTCTCTTCCTGATTTAGAGCAGCCAAGTCTTTCATCCTTTGATTTATTTTCTTAAAAATAGTGTCCATCCCAGCAATCTCTGTACTAAGTTGAGAGTTGTTATTCAAAAACTGAGTCTGGTAAAATATTGTGGATAAACTCTGCAATATTTCATCTTTGTTCAAGATTTCGTTCTTTAAAAATGAACCATCTTTATCAAGACCTATTGTAGATCTCCCTTTGAACCCTTCAGGAGAGTTAGAGCAAGAACTCTTATCATCCTTTTCTTCTTCAGAGTGATTTCCGTTCTGGTGCACTTTGCTTGAAGTCCCATCATCTAATTTGTGCTTATTTTTCTCATTTAGAGTTACTTTTCTTGGGAATCTGTCAGTGTTGACCCCTGATTTGTCGAGAACAATGTTGGATCTTCTAGCGTACTTTTTCCCTTCATTAAGGACTTTCAACCAGTCAGATTTTTCATTATTTATCCTTTCATTTAATTGTGAAGTGGTGACCATCCTGGAACACAATCTTGATAGAATTCTTCTTCTTTCCATCTTCAAACATAATGTATGCTAAATCAAAGGAGGATTTAGCAGCCTTCCCTTGCTTGATGGAATATGACAGGTTCCCATTTTCAATGATGAAATATCTATGTGTAGTTAGTATATGTAAAGAAATATCTAAAGGAAGATAAGGGAAAGGTTCTACCAAGATATATATCACCGCGTGCTTGTACTTACCTCTTTTTCCACCCCTTAAAGAAGTTTCGATATTTTTTAAGATAGCCTTCCTTATGGATCTCCATAGTGTCAAATTATCTTTATATTAGAACTAATTAAATTTCAATATTGAGCAATTCATTTGGGGTTTTGGGGTTTTGGGGTTTTGGGGTTTTGGGGTTTTGGGG